TTCAAAATTTACTTACGTTTGAAGTATTTTTCATTTGTCTTGCCACTTCCACCTGTATATATGTAATCAAATTATTGTTTAAATTGCCTTGTTGAATGCGCATAAGCCGATGACAGCCATCAGGAATACCTTCCTTCCTTCCGTAATTTTCAAATGGACATCGGTAACTGTAAGTACGATATTACAGTAAAAATAAACCACGTTGCGTTATAATGTTTATCTAAAGTATGTTCGTTTCTAAGCAAGACTAGTTGTTTCATAAACGGGTGTGTTATATAGCATCATGCTTACTTGATTTTGTGCATTATCGGTGGAGACTTTAATGACGACATTGTATCACTGTATTTCACTTGCCTCCTACCAGCAATAATTCTCACACACTTGAAAGTGGTTTGCAACATCTGTTACTTATCTCCTGTTCCTACAGGACTCTGTTTCACGGGTTCACTGCAAACAATTGTCGTTTCCGGGAACCTGACAGTATAAATAGCTACGTTGTAAATCCACGAATAGAACAGAAATGTATCAGTGGATGATACACATAAACCACGTGGTAGGCTTATTGCATGCCTGAACCACGATTCATGTATTTGTAGAAACTCTCAAACGATACATCCTTTTCGTATTCGTAAGAAAATTTACCTTCCAAATACTTGAATACATTTAAGCATTCCATTACTGTATTATATATAACAATTCTACTTCTGACTAAAATCTGTTCTTTAAATTTTATTATTTTTTATATTAGTGGAGATTTTTCTGTTACAAGCACGGGCGGAGTTTTCATTGAAAAATTAAAACCAAAAATTCTCCTGTCTTACTTTCGTGGTTCAGTGGCACTCCATAGACTGGACTACGACTGAACGAAAATCGGACAGTAGCCGTCACAAAAACGCACACTTCACGGCTACGTAAAAACTTCACTCCTTTTACGGATTGCTCTTCAGTCACGTGTAGAGCGTTGCCAACTTTACTACGCTCCAAGATTTTAGCTGTCTTCACTCGTCTGGGCTCCGTCATTCGTGTTGCAACTTTGCTGTAACCTTGAAGCATACAATTTCCTGGCGGCTACTATAGGCAGGGATTTGTTGGAAAGCCGTTTAGAAGCAAAGAATGCTGGGTGGAGGGAAAGCGAAAAAGCTTAAACAATGAAAGCGTTGATATATGAGCTGCTATATTACCACAAGTCACACGAGAGACGCGTACAACATAACATGTTACTTACTAAGATTTTGCTACGACACCACCAAAATGGCAAACAAGAATAGACTGCCACAAGCTATGTATGAGTTAATTAATGATGCTGCACCAATTTGACGCTGGAAATCCGGCAACCAGCATTTGTGTGGGTCGCTTGTATTTTAGTTCGGGAGGAACTTCTCCAGAAAACGGTTATTTCACACATCATTAATTTGAGCCAGACAGTTAAAAAGTAACCCATTTATAGATCGCTACAAAGCAACCGCAGGAATCTTGTCTATCTAAACAACGCTGCATACTGCGACAGACAAAAGGCAGAGGTGGATAATTTGGAAAATGCTCTAATAATTGCAATAACTCCTCTTACTTGCAACTGCCAATAACCCTGAGTGCCATTTCAGACGATAAAAAATTAGAAATTGTCCAAAGTCTGGATTTATTCAAACAGTAGACATCAAACAGAAGAAACGTTTGGTATCTACAGGGATCTCAGAGATCTGGGGGAATAAATTTAAGACAGAATTATAAGATGCGGCAGCTTATTAAATAACTTTTGTGTGTTGTGTTTTACAAACCTTATATTACTGAATCTTCTAAACGTCTTTGCTATTCAAGTTCTGATATTACGTAAGAATTTCGTATATGCAATTGTTTCGGGTCCCTATAATAAACTTTCAAGGGCCAAATCCGGCTCATGGTCAGGATTTAGTAACCCTTAAACAAGTTAAAGGATTACTATAATGCCAGCTGTTTCACAGAATCTGTTGTGTGATGTTCGATTCCCAGGCTCCGCTAAAGACAAAGTGTACTTTGAACAGTTTTTTCTCGGAAATCATTCGTTCTAGTCATTCAATCAAATGTTCTCTCGTTTGCCGAGGCACTTTGTTGTTGATATCCACGCTAAATAACCTTCAAGGCTAATTACTGTAAAAATAATGAAAATAAAATTTACTTAAGAAAATACTTCCCTCGTTTCTAACTATTTGTACATAGAATTATATATATATATATATATATTTTGGTATGTGTGTCACACACTTTGTTCTTCTTATAGACTAGGATAAGCGATCGTTCGTCGCCTTAGTACTATTGAAACAAACTGTACTGAAATTATTAAATATCTTAATTACTGCGACATTCTTAAGAATATGAGATCTGAGTCCCCACGGTGGTAAGGACGTCGATTTTGGTCTTCTGCGTAGCAATGTCATGTGTGCTATACAACACTACACTACGCTATAATATATTATTCTTTTCTACACTATACTATACCATTTAATAAGTACATTTAAAATGCAGACGTTCTATAGCTCTGAGTGAGATGAAATATGATCATGAATGGTAAGACTGGAATAATTTATTAGGGTGACAGCTTACTTTATTTTAAAGCAAAATCAAATTAGGAAATCCTATAGCAATAACCTGAAATTAATACCAGATATCTCGCGGTTATCGGTCAGACTGTTACCGCTGTGCTATCCGACTTTGTTGTTGTTGTTATTATTATTATTAATATAAATTTGTTTGTAATTTATTTAACGATACTATCAATAACTCAGATTTTATAGCGCTGAACTATATGACGGTTAATAAAATCAAAAGAATTTTAAAGGAAGCTGTTGCAGCCTCATCTGAGGCATTATACGACGAAAATCCTCAGTCGGGATACGAACAGAAAACAGGAGTACAAACCACTCAGTCGCGACATTCGGTGGCAAATAGTGGAACCTGTGACCTACCCTCTACAGCCTATGAAGTGGAAGGCAACTTCAGTATATTCCCAGCAGGCCTACTCAAAAGTAATCTCTTCCACCAAAAAAAGGGATTTACTACCGAAGTTACATTCCTCAGAGGAGGGCGTCTACTTGGGAGACAGTTTTTCACACAGACAAAAGTTCCAAGACCCAACAGAAGACGTCTTCGTAGAAACATGCAATACACGCTTCTCTCTGAGAGGCGGCCCTGGTAATTCAAGTTTATAAATGTCTAAGACTGAGACTAGTAGGAAGTAAGTACACGGTCTGCCATTCTTCAGAGGATCGCGCAGGAATGACGCCTGCATCTGGTCTATTCCCGGGCCCTTTCGCCAGCGCAACGATCATTCACACGATAAAACTAGTATAATTAACTTTATGGACCAAAACTCTTCTTGAGAAGTCGCTACTCGCTCTGCTGGACAAGTAATTCCCGACTTCTATAAGACCCGAAAGTTCAGTGCCGTATTAACAAAATCCAACCAGTGGTCCATATCCTAAGCCACAGCTCACAGACATCTCATTTATTTTAGAAACATTTTAATATCGTCTCGTGACGTACTTGTTCTTACAAGTGATTTTCGCTCAGTTTCTTTTTAAAACTTATATGAATTTCTGATAACCCATGTTCCCATCTGACTGTCATTACCCCGAATTATATTTGACGAAGTCAAAAATTTATGAAGCTCCTCATTACGTATTATTACCTACCCTAATGTTATATTTTTCATGGATGTCACACTGATACAGAGCTCCTGTTCGAGAATACGTGTATCAAGCTAGACGCCAATGAAGGAACAAAATTAGTAAGATATAACAGGAAATAGGGAAGAGAAGAGTAGGTTACTGTTATAAGAGTAACCGTGTGGCGCCATTAGAGATCGTAGCCCTTATTAGACTGCAAAAGCCCAGTGTTAGTCGGACACAGACTTCTGTATAGAAAACAGAATGAATTAATTAATGAATAACTGATTAACTGATTGGACTAGTGTACAAATGGACGTAAGATTGAACAAACTAATGAATGGATGAATGAATTAAAGATTTGTGCACCTAAGAAGAATCGTGGACTCTGCTCGGATTTGTGTGAAATCTATTGAAATTTAAGTAATAATGAGTTGAAGGAACGTTTACCAATGGGTGAAAAGCTCAAAGGAGGAAATGTTATTGTTAACGTACGTTATGCATGAATATCGACTGTAATACGTGTCTGGATTAAGGAAAAATCAATTACAGCGTCAGGAACAACAGAAGAATCAGCCTTACTAAAATTGCATCCGAAATTACAGTATCGGTCATAGACGGAAGTGGATGTAGAATGGCTTCAGGCCCAACTAAAAATATATTATTCTAATGGAACCACGAACTTAGAGGTTTTGAGACCAAATTATTTGAAAATCATTATTTCGTCAAGCTGACTTTAAAACTGATTTTACTGCTTGATTTGCCTTCTTGTACGTTGATTACATATTCCTCGTGTATTATAAGGATACACTCAGTGTTGGCTTAAGAATCACAAACACAGTACACAATTTCACAGGAAACAATTTATGATCTGTGAAGTAAGAGCTTTTACCCTTCTCACATTCTAATACCACATACAGTTTTAAAGGACAACGATTTCAGTGAATAATGGTTTAACACACAGTTTTAAATGTAAGTATTACAATGCTTGCATTATAAAGTCTTCCACGCTTTTTAAAGATATATCTTACTTATAATATAAGAATGGGAAGTTGTGACAATAATTTATGAGTCTACTTTTCCTTTAATTCTCTTCACCTGCACAAAGAAGACAGCAGAAGTTGCAGCTTTATAATTATATATCGTACGAGTTAACTCGTGTACAGAATTTTAGGTAACACAGATGTAACACTGGATACATGAGACCATGTCTGTAATTCCCGCCAAAAAATCTTTTTTTTTGTGAACTTGTGAGTTTTGTTATAAAATTGCAAACGATTATCTGGTGTTGCTATCAAAAGAAGGAAAACATACTGTATTTTGACCATCTCGCTTTTCTACGACCTTTCCCTCCACACTTCCATAATTTGTGCAGCAATCACATGTCACATTCTTTAATGGATAATTACCCATTTCACCCCTATACCTGACCCTCCCACACTTTGGGGATCAAGACAATGCCACTAAAGTAACGCAGGAAAATATTCGTGCCTTATGAAAATCGTGATGCACAGTCGTAGAGGTTTGCA